TTTAATGAAGTGTCATGGATTTAGCTACTCACTATTAATCAGTAGTCAATTGGTTTTGCGTAGTTTAAATGTAATGACATGTAAGCATAATGGCACATAGGCGCTAACACATCTCTTATGCTTCATTTATTTCATTTATTTTTACGTCCTAAACTGCTTATGAGTGGTCTAAATGGGAAGGGCTGATCACCGAAAGAGATTTTACTCAATACACCAAAATATTTTTGAATTTAGGTTCAACTTTTAAATGTATAAGAATGTTTGAAGTGTATATCTAGTAATTTATTCTTTAAAAATTGTTAAGCTTCATAACTGAGAATAAAGGTTTCATTATGAATGTAAACGAAGCAGCCGAAAGTGAATCCATGTCTTGAAAAACGTCAGTTTGTGCATCGAATTGAATGCAGCTGTAGTTGTGTGGCTTGGCAACTTCAACTTTTATCCGCAGAATCATGATTTTCAGTCCCCTCTCATCTAATAAGGTTCGAACAAGCAGATGATGTTGTTAATAACCATTCAATTAGTATGAGCCATAACCTAATACATGAAGGTGCATGTTAACGGTGAATTGAGTTGTTATTAAACACATCTAATTATCTTAACCAAATCTGTTAATAAGAAACGTTGATTGCAAGGTGACTTGTGGATTCAAATCATGTTCAGACCACCTGTTTGCGCACGAGTCATACTTATGCTGCAAGGATCGAGACTGCCTAAAGTTTATACCTACGAAATGGATCCTAAATCGTGACCCTTGGATTAGGAGTTCACTAACTAGACAACTTCAAAAAACATCTTTGTCAAAACTTACTACTAAACAACATGAGTAACTAGAAATCACTTATGCTGATTTTTAGATTTGGCAAACTAGATCTAAATATTGGACGGTCGTTTTGCTCGTTTGCGGCCGAGCTGATCAGGTGTGTACCCGGAAAAATTGTTTACACGAACTGAATCTGACTAACTGACTTGTATGGACTAGTATGTCTCAAGTAGGCCAGCCGATTTTCCAAATGAGATGTAAACTGCATAGTCCACGTCAAGACTTCTCACAGTTGAGTAGTTTTTTAACTGCTGAACTGTGGTGTCAACAGGGTATATGTTGAAGGCTAACATGTCAAGATTAAAAAGTATGGCATCACAGTTGGGTAGTTGAAAAAGTACCCTGCTTTGAAAATGTCAACGTGGACCGTACAATTTGTAAGTAGTTTGTAGTTACTGCTCTCTAGACTACTATTCCCTCAAGGTAATAAGCGAACAGCAAGATAAATAATAAAATATGATGTTAACATGTGCAATTTGGAAATCAATATTCATTTCACGTATGCAGTCTACAGCTACAAGTGATCTCAGTGACACCTAACTTAATGAAATGTTTCAGAAAATATTTTACTTTGGCTTTATACGTAAACACTTGATTAAAGTGGACTACCTGGATTTGTCGACTTTCCCAAGCGTACACCGATTTATTTGCTCCTGAGGAGTCCTTTAAAAATGAGGTTTTGGTGCACATGGTGTTCAAAAAAATGTTGAAGACTATTGTCTTACATCGTTATATGAAAGTGGCAGTTAGTCTATTATCAGCACTGGACATTGAACTCAAACAAACTTCATTGAAATATACTTATTAAGCATAATGTACTTTGTCTTCTTTACATCTCTAAGGCACACACACATAGGTAATCTTTAGTCATTTATGGAATGGACATGCATAGATGACACAAACTTGAAAATTGACTGAGGTCTGGAAATATAGACCTGAACAATTTTTTACAGATCGGAGATGATAGTGCAAAACGCAGAACTTGATATTTAATTTGGCTTGGTGGTTAAAGAACAGAGCAGTAGTTAGTAGTCAATTAGGAAACTTGGTAACAGTATAGGACCAAACCTCGTAGGAAAAAATTGGCGTATGTCTAACTTCATAATGATAGTAATGGTAATAGAAATAAGATTAATTAAACGGAAAAGACTATGAGATAGGGATAATAATTAAAGGTGGAGAACAGGTAGTTGCAGTTAATACCACGGTAGGTCCAAGCTGAAAACCATTTTCTCCTGTTCTCAGACAGAGGTTTGGTTTGACAAATCGAATCGCATGGATTTCTGCAATTGCAAGCATTTTCTTATTCTATTGCCCACTCATGATTTTAAATGACTGCAAAGTATCAATATTATGCCTATAGTCCATCAGATGTTTTGTTATTGAGCTTCTCGGAGTTTCTTTTTCTGAGCTCTTCAGTCATTTGGGTAGGTGCTTAGTCACTCGAGTAGACAGACACCTGTTCGGAAAACGTATTTATCTGCTTCCACATACACATTTGAATTGACATGCATTAAAGGTGTCAAGGATCATAGCAACATCTTTTCTTGATTTTCGCAGTACTCGTTTGGTAGTACTGAAGAACACAAGTTTGGCAGCATAATAGGTTCTTCCTATGATCTCTGCCAGTCTTCGCCTAATTACCTTTAGCACCTCATCATCTTTAACTGGTAAGATGATATGAATTGGTATAAGTGTAAAACTAAGGCACTGTGGTGGAATATAATTTCATATCCGATTTGTTTATTTGGTTTATAACACACAGTATTATTTACTTGATGACGTTTCGGTGATGGCTTTCTATAAATGGACCTTTCGATAGATTAATCGTTTCTTTACACTAGATATAGACATGTGGGAATTTTTAGTTTTGATACTTGTGATTACCCGCTCCTGTACAGGGACTAGCTGTTCTACCTCTGTCGGTAGTGCTCCAGTGACCTGGAGGACAGCGCTTTGACGTTTGAAGCGATGGGTGTTGAGTTCGATTCCCAGTGGCAACAACATCATTTATTGGGGTGCAGATACATCCAGTTGACGATTCCCCAGTAGGCCGAAACGCGCGTCATAGACTTCACTGCCAGTCGCCAAGATGAATGTAGGAATATGTTTGTATCATCATACTCTATGGTGAAAGTTGGATTTGGTTGACATGGGTTAAAATTCATTAGTGGTGTTTTTGTCTCCATTTTGTTTTCATATGCAATGAAAATACCAACCACTTACTACTGTGTAGCTGTGTTCGCTAGCTACCAGTTAACAAACTTGAGAGTGACTCAGCTAGAGGAGGTCCCAAAGGGCTTCCCACAGTAACACCGTTGTTTTGACAAAATAACTGGCAACTGAACTGAAATTAGTCATCCTCACTATCAAAGAGCTAAGGCCTACGATTGCAATCCGACCCCATGGGTGTCCCCTAGAGGAATAACTATTCTAGAAACGCAGAAAAGTAGACATCATTTAATCAGCCGACCACTAGATCTTTCTCAAAACTTTGAAAGCATATTATTCTACCTTGTTTAAACAGTATTTTTGAAATCGCCTCTTCTTGATAAAGGTTTTTTGAAATTTCTTTATATCGCTCAGAATGCAAGACATCTGCTTTATTCCATGTTATGTAAGCCTAACAGTGTAACAGTAGAAGAATACAAGTCTAACATTCTGTACAAGATTTATTACATCAACTGAAAGAAGCTGTGTTATCCTGATTGGAGTCTACTGCTTCACTTTTGTATTAGAAAGGAAAAATAAGCTGCTGAATGTTACGATATATAATTTTCCAAACCACTACATTTTGATGACTTTGAGGGTGGATTCGACTGCGAAAATGTGGAAATGTAAGGATGCTAGAGAGTTTTCAGAAGTTTGCTACCCCATTCAATCAACTATGAATAGATGTGCTAAGATGAACTCAGTGGGTCATTCAGTAAAGAAAAAGATGCACAGTCACATAGGTGTCTCCCACATACGCCTAATTTTGCATTGCTTTACCTGCTGTTTTGCCCATGACCTTAAAATAACCCATATAGTTGTTTTCACATCGTTGTTAGTTTTTCTTATCTCTCCCCTCAAGACTGAGCTCTCATCGGCTGTTAACTATTTTTACCTATATATGTGGATTTAGTGTTGTCAAGGTCATTTAGGAATGTATATATTCTGAATCCCTGTCAATTGTATTGACTGTTGTTGAAACAGTAAAAAGCTCTCTGTCAGCAGTCTGTCTTCTCTTCTTGTCTTCACACGTCTATGGTATTGTTATTGTGGTGGTTGGATGTTCTGGTTTGAGTTAGAGTCGATTCGTTGCTCGTTAGGTTCGTATTGTGCATAGTTTGCTAGACTCGTATCGCTCTTAGACTGTTAGGTCGTACTACCGGTCATGGCAGTGTCAAGTTACTAAAACACTTGACAAGTAAATATGTTAGTATACTCGTCACAAATGCCGTGGAAGAAGTTGAGCACCGAGCCTAATTTTGTCATGATAAGTGTACATTATTATGCTGAGGAAGCTATAGCTTACATAGCCAAAAGTTCACAAAATATTGTTTTAGTTTTCTAAACACTGAGATTTAATTAGAATATACTCTTATAATAATTATGACAGAGCCTCTGAGGAAATATAATCACAGTCAAAGTCATTATAACAGATAAACTTTTTAACGTTGACAAAACTAAAATCTCAAATCGTTTATATGTTAGCACTGATTCTGCCTAGATTGGCAATGTAAGCTTCTCTTTCAGAGGATATAAAATAAAGATCACCTTATCGCGTGATATAGATGACATCTTGTCTCGTTTGGTACGATGTTTTATACACTCTGCATCTATTCAGCAAAATATTGGCTTTTCTTGCGAAAATAGTTCACAAAATTGCAATCGTACAGTGTCAAGAGTAAATCGTCTCAAAATAATCTTCATGAGCAACTATTTGTTAAGCTATCTCAGAAAACGTCTACTCTACAGAGAGATTTTAACATAGAAAGGTTAAGGTTGAAGTTAAAACAAAGCCAAGCATAGTGACCTGTGATTCCAATCCTGATACCTTCTGACTTTTATTTGTACTTCAGTCGTCATCATCGTTCCCCTAAATTAATTTTGGATAGATTTAAATATCAAAAATTACACAATCATATTAATTATTCGCGAGTTAATTTTACTGTCTGAACATTATTTTGCACAGATTCATTCGTGATATACATTATGTGAATACGGTCGCGCTTATAACCGATAAGTATCTACATTTCATTAAGTGAGTTTTCTTAGTGATTATATATATATATATATATATATATATATATATATATATATATATATCACTTTAATTCATATATTTGTATTTTCAAATGTGTATGTTTGAGGGAGAGGGCGAATTTTAATCTCATGTTAAATTATAATTCTGTTTAGTTTTGTAGCCTTGAAATACACTAAGATTTTCTTGTCTGAGGACTGATGTTTGAAAGATACCAAGGTGTAAAAGAAGTTGCATGCTGTCTAGAAAATGTATCAATGGTGACATTAACAGCCGATTTTATAGGATATACGTGTCTAATGACGCGAGATACTGGCTTTATTCCATGCTATGGAAACAACCTTTGACAGTGCATAGTACTAGGTTTTATTCACAGGTGTTTACGTTACATTAATACAAGCTATCTACTCGACTGTGTTGGTTACAGGCCATAAGCAGAAAGCCCCATTCGACCTGGGTTTCGTATTTGTTGGCACTCGTCAGCAAGGTGTATCTGCAACCTCAAGGGAAGTGATGTCCTGCCTGAGACTCGAAACCGTATCATTCAGTGCTGCAGTCAGAGAGGTTACCACTGAGCTATTCGGGCCGCGATTGATATCCCCCAGGACTGGGTTTAGGTATATTGGTTGGTCGCTGGAGGCTAACCAACTTCATGTTACCTAGTCCCAATTCCTGATCGAACTTTATCGATAATGACTGTACTAATTCAACATTATCGGGAATGTTTTTCTGAAGTCATCTACTTCTGTCTCTAGTTTTTTACAATATGATAACCTCTCATCCGAACACTACCTTTAGTATGGTAACAGTTCGTATAAGTTGACTGACTGAAAAATGACTTCCTTCGGTTTTCTTTTCCTTTCTTGTCAAAATGAAATTAAACAAATACTTTATTCAATTTGGGGGGTTTGTGGTGATTTTATTGATTTCAAGTTGGTATTCATCACTAACTGACATCAGTTGAAGAACCGTTGAAAAATGAGTACTCAGCGAGGTCACTGCATGAAGGTTGCACTATAGTGCAAGTCGACAGTGAGCCATTGATTTCAAGCCCAGTGGTTGAGTGGTAACGTGCCCTCCACGGAGCCTGAAGGTTCTGGGTTCGATGCCTGGCGTGGTCATGAGTATGTACTGTTGAGGAATTCTATACTAAGACGAGACAGTTGTCCAGTGCTCTCAGACTTTCAATGTTTATCTAACTGGTGTCAGTCCATGAAGAGTAACAACTTTAATGACTCGCATAGATAGTTTTTTATACAAAAGAAATTAGTGATGTATAGATATTTATACTGAGTGATGATTGAAGGTGAAATGAAAAATTGACAAGTTGAGAAACGGAATAGAAAGGATTACTTAAGTGTACGTGATAAATTTATAATGTAAATACAAGATCAAAAATTAAGTCAAATGGGTTTCACGTCCGATAGTAAAATTGTGGAGATAAAAAAGGTAGAAATCAACTGTGTAATCGATGTAATGGATGAAAATAGAAAAATATATTTACAAAAATTTTTTTGGAATGGCTTATGCTAAATAATAAAATAGTGGTTACCGCGGAAGTTGGAGGCTAACAACTGCCTCTTTTCGGATACGCAAGTTCTGTTTAATTCTTCTGATAGCCACTTCTTCTGTAAATCGTATTAAATTAGCATTGTTTTGTTTGTTGGTTGTTTTAAATGCACTTAAGATCGTGTCCAGTACATATCGAATGTTTAGCAATGAAACTTTTGAGATAATCTGATCTCTTTATGCCCAACTTATTTAAAATTGGTAGTGATACTTGTAATGGGTCAAATTTCTCGGTCTCTATGTTAATAAACAACATCTTATACCCGTTGCACAAGTGATGACTCTTGTATTCCAGTATCCTGGCCTGGCCGATGACGCTTTGGCGTTTGTGGCGATGGGTACTAGGTTTGAGTCTCAGTGGGAATAACACCATTTTCTGGGGTGCAGGTACATCCAGCTGACGAGTCCCAAATAGGAAGAAGTGCGCGTCCTGGGTTCAGCTGCTAGTCACGAAATGGACTAAATTATTTGAAATATTTCCACGAAATTGAGCTTCAGTCCTCCTTTCTATTCTTCCTACGTATGTACTTTGATGTGTACGTGTGAATTGGCAAATATAATTTTGCGGTATCATGAGCTAGAAACCTATCGACTTTCGATTATTGTAGAGAACACTTCGTTTTGCATATGGGGAGACCAATTTAGCTGTTGGGAAACTAATTTTTAATGCAATTTTTTTTTTACAAAGGACAGAAGCGTTTTCATACAACTAGAATGTTTCTGTAGGATTATATTTACTGATTTTGATGGTTATTGGGATGTGAGTGAGAGTGATTTTCCCATGACATATTGACCTTCCCCACCTTATTTGGTGTCTGGTCAAACGGATGAGATGCCATTTTAATGCTGCTAATATGCGAATATTCCCTTGTTCTTATGGAGTTGGTTGCACAGGTTTCCTGATATTACCATATTTTGATATCAAGGGAAAAGAGTAAATCAGTTAACAGTCTCATACTGAAACTTCAGTCGATTGTAAATGCTCAGATTCATCAGAGTCCGATCTTACAATTAAACCAACTGCTTCAAATGAAGCTTTGATTTCTGATATAAAACTAAGCATATATGCCAGGGATTCATCTATCAAAGTTTGAACTCGATCTGCATAAACTGTTCTTCTAATCTCTTATTTGTCTATGCTCTTTTTTTCTCTTCAACTTCGATCAAATCCTACTACTACAGGATAACTGTCAAAATGGTTCTATTAGATAATTAAAAACTAATAAAAGATAATTCATCGAAAGAAATTTTCTTTTCCACAAATTATTTTCAAAAGCTGTACATCGTAATCATAGTTACAACAAAATATGTATCCATCATTAACCAATGCGTTAATACAAAGTCATCAAAACGGTCAATAAGGTCACAAAATGATAACGGCTAGAAGGTCAAATTGAGGTCATCAAAAATTGCTTAAATAAACAAAGAAATGAATAAGTTGTCTTGAGGAGATTACAACCCAAGCAAAACTAGAGATTGAATGTATCTCTTGAAAACATAGACTGCACAAAGCAGTAGAACATTAATTTAATGGTTATTCAGTTCATCCTCCCACATACACATAAGACGATGCTTTATACTACTAATCTACTTGTAAACACTTTTTAAGTCATCAGTTTTATCATATTTGTTAAGAACTAATCACTTGACTATTAAGAGGCATCAGTGGATGACACTTAAGTGGAGTTGTTACATTCTAAAACACACCAAGATATCCATACTAGTATTCGTACACTAATTCGTTTTTTACAGTCGACTGGAGTCTAGTCGAAGTATTTTACATTACTCAGCTGTTGTTAAAGTGTGTGTTGAAACTGCTACTGACTGACCTATTTATTTTATTTTAGAACAGATTTCAATAACAGAAACAACCGTCCAGCTTATATTCGAATACCTTTGGAAGCAATAGAAAAGCTTGAATTTGGTAGGTGTTTTGTTTCATGCATATACACAATTTTCGTTGTTCTTTTGCTCGCAAAATATCACCGAATCTGACCTAAGTAGTTAGACTTTATTTTCCGTGTATGTTGCTTTTAAGTTAATCTAGACTCATGGGGGGCGTTATTGATCTGTACCGAATGCATTTTAGTCAACGATCGACTTCCTGAAGCCCTGGAACATATACATTGATTAGTCACTGGGAAGTTATCAACCTAACAAGAAATGTTGACAAAAGTTCAAGGCTTCCTGGGGATTACCTCTATCCCTGCGGGACATCAATTAAAGTGCAAATGGTGGTGAATTTCTCAGCTTAGTGGACTGCATTGTAAACTTGATCTTAGGAATCCGTAGAATGTATTGAGCATGTGGGTTTAAATAACATAATCGGCTTTTCTCCAGTGACCAATTAATCTAAAATGATTCACCATGCTATTATTTTTACCTTGATCAAATTTATCAAGGCTACCAAATGTATGAAGGTCGTATGCATTGCCTGTGCTTTTCACTTTGCGTATAAATTTCGTCCCAGTTAAGTTGTTTTGCTTACTCACAAACAGATTACAGTCAAACATGATAAAAAACTAAACATTTTGAGTTTTCCTTAGTAGCTATGCAGAATGTCATTTACTGAAATATATCATATTTATCATTACTGTTGTTTGTATCTTAGGCTTGGAACCAGCCATTTTTCGAGCAAAACATTTTGTCTTGCGAATATTTTATAAAGTTCCTGATGAAAATTCAATCCAAAGATCTGATTCATTGAAACAGCAAATACTTGGTATTGGAAGTGATCATGTGAAAACCAGCTCTCAACAGACACTTACTTCGTCAGCGGGTCAACAAACACGTTCTCAATCATCAGATTTAAGTTTATCACCTGTAAAGCGATTCGAGAAACCAAAAATTCCTGTAAGTTTCCCCCCACTCTGCATATTAGCGTATTTATTGATATGTTATTAATATTTACTTACTATTAGAAGTGTGGAACCTAAAAGATATGTTGTCAGGTGAAGTAACCTGTTTTACTTTGACTAATGAGCATATTTGCTTTGCAACATTGTTTGTCATACTTCTAAACACTTCATTATTTTTAGTAATGATGGGCAGTGGCTAGCAGTGGAATCCAGGATGCGCATTTCGTCCTATTTGGGACTCGTCAGCTGGATGTACCTGCTTCCCAGTGAGTGATGTTATTCCCACCGGGACTCGGACTCGGGAGCGATCGCTTCAAACGCCAGTGCGTTATCCACTACACAACCGAGCCACGATAGCCACTTCTTGTGCGACGGGTGTAGGTTTATTGTTATTGCTTGTATTACACCGTCGTTGATTGGACCGAATTGATCAGTCTCTGTTGGCATATGGGCTCCTATGCGGATGCCTCGATATTACCTGTCTTTTAACTATGTTTAGTAATGATGGGCAGTGGCTAGCAGTGGAATCCAGGATGTGCAATCAATAACACTTCATTATTTGTTGTTATAATCAAGTTTGTCAATCATTTCTGTGGCTACTTCGTTCGTCAATAATTATTAATAAAGTAATAATGGATAGTGGCAAGCAGTAGAATCCAGGATACTCATTTCCTCCTATTTGGGACTCGTCAGTTGGATGTACCTGCCTCCAAGTGAGTGGTGTAGTTTCCACCGAGAGGCATGTACATCCAGCCGACGAGTCCCAAGTAGAACGAAATGCGCATCCTGGATTCCACTACTAGCCGCTATCCGTCATTACAATAATTAGAACACAGGTAATATCACGGCATCCGCATAGGAGCCTATATGCCAATAGAAACCGATCAATTCGGTCCGATCAACAACGGTATAATACGAGCAATTATACTAATTATTAATAAGCTTGTACTATGTATTCATTACACAATCCTTCAGACAACGAACAGGATACTGAGTGTTGTCTCTATAATCGGATAGTCATAGGGAACAATTACTTCTTGTGAAATGGAAATGTTCACAAAGACCTAACATAGACCCAAAGGCCTCTTTAGTTAGTTAATATTGGCTGTTGTATAGATGTAATAACCGCATTTCGCCCTATTTAAGACTAGTCAACTGAATGTGACTGCATTCCAGTCAGTAATGATATTCCCATTGGAACTGGAACTCAGTACCGACCACTTCAAATCCACTGAGCTGGATAGGATTGATCTGTTTCTTCAATTGGTGGTTTGTAGGGTTTGATTGGTTTCAAGGTTGTCGCTTCGTACACAGACACATCGAACTTAACAAATTCATCAATTCATTAAAATAAACGGTGGGAATATCTGCTTGTGCTCCAATGTTCCAGTGGACAACGCTTCAGGGTTTGAAGCCGTAGGTACTGGGTTTGAGTCCCAGTGGGAATAACATCACTTACTGGGGTGCAGGCATATCCAGCTGACGAGTTCAAAATAGGACGAAACGCACGTCCTGGATTCCACTGCTAACCACCAAGGAGATATTAACATAATCACCAGACAGGCAGTATCAAGGGATCCGCATAGGAGCTCATCTCCAAAGAGAGGTCGAGCAACTCCACCTAGTATAGCAACGGGGAATTACAAGTATCAAACAATAAACAGTACGAACTCCGACTTATCATTACGTAAACGAGTTTCATGTCGATTTTCATTTAGATGTCAATATCATAATTGCTAGCGTTTTATTCTTGCCTTGAGCATTTCTACTTTGGATTGAATGAATTTTTTTATACGGTTAACTAAACTGTCTCAGCTAACCCCAATTGGCTAACTAATGTCTATATACATGAAGATAATAACTCCTAGTTGATGACTTAAACTAACCGCTTTAATGTTCAGTGGTTGTAGGCAGTGAAACAAACAACTTAATCCATACAAATCAGCACCTTAATTGAATAAAAATTGATGTAATGAAACAAGCGAATTCTTGTTTACCTTTAAAATGGATGGCACTCTAGAAACAACAACAACACACACACTGTAGTTAGTGTCTATAACCTATGTCCATATTACAATACAAGTGATGTTGTTATTACAATATTTTTTAATGAAATCATCGATTAGTTGTTATTATTCATTTGGAGAGTTCATCTTACTCGGAGGCAGCTATTCATAACATTATTATTCTCGAGGTGACCTTTACAGTTATTTTCGTCTAGTGTTTTTTTGTTTTAATAATATGTTTGTTACTTGCTTATGTTGTCAAAATATTTGAAAAAACATAACATATTAGGTCACTGTCATACTGTCATCATCTAGATCCATAGTTGTTTTTTTGGCTGTAAACTAACTTTTTATCAGGCATTGAGTGAAAGCTTCACATCAGATTACTAATTATGCAAATTTATAGTGGCATTTTAAATCTATTCAACTCTGTTCATTATATGAGATAGAAGATTCAGAGCTTATAAGTAAAAGTGAATTTAAATGCCACCCTATCAATCATTGAAATAAACATTTAGGATTCTATATTTTCTGAAAAATTACCTTTCCATACAAAATAGAAACTTAATGGTTGGTTATTCCAATAGGTTGCTACAGTGTCCTGCGAGAATCCCCTCGAAGATGATACTTTTTGATTGAAGTTTTAATAAATACATATCACAAGAATTCATAGCATTACCTTCCTGGTTGTTTCTAAAATCCCATTCATCAAACAATATTTCCCAAATAATGATTTATGAGTTTACTGAAATATCCTATTTCTGTGAAAACAGTTTGTGCTGTGGAATTGTCCTGTGAAAACCCACTGTAAGGTTATCTAGGAATGTACGCGTATCGTGTTCATACATAATAAATATATCATCGTGGTATATCACTTCTCCACAACAATCCTATGAACAATTACATCGACAGGAACTATCGCCTACTTGAAGAGATTTATATCATTTGACTAAATCTTTTATAGAATCAATTGTAGAATACATTTAGTCTCATTTTGCCAACCTTTGTTTAAAAGTTGTTGTTTTAAAGAAATATAGACCACTGTACTCTTTCATAAACGGAGAGAGATTTATTTATTTTATTCACCAATTTGAGAACCTATCGATGAACATCGTTGTACCGTATTTGTAATATTATCAATAGAATTCGTAATTGCTATAAAAAAAGGGCTAGAATTCTCACACTCGTACAGAAAGAACAACAATTATAATTGTAGCTTGTATCTTTAGGCAAACCAACAATTCCAAGCAGTCCCGAAATGTTCACAAATATTTTAAACAAGCCTGATTACACAACATTACATACCTACATTTATATTAGCGTAATCACAATAGCGTATTTAAAAGGATCCCTAATAAGATCGTAATATCAGCAAGAGATTTCCATAGATGAGGGATAACCGATGATCATAGGATGGTGCATGCATAAAAATGTTTTGCGTGAACAGAATATGGCGTCCAGGCGTAATGATTGGATCAGCTGTTACTGGTTAGGCATTTCCAACCGTGAAAGCAATTTTTTCAAAGCGTCCAAAAAAGTGTGTAATGAATTTTTCTCGCATGCACCTCTTAAAACTTGAACTTGGAAGCATTATCTTTCGCTGTTTGACTTCATATTCCACAGAAAAAACTGAGCGGAACAGATTTGGAATGCTGATTTCTAACAAGAGTCATCATTTCAGTTAGTTTTGTCATTCTTCTGTAACTCTGCTTGTCATCATTTCAAAACACAACACACACACAAGACTAATTGGATATTCGAAAGCAAAAATAAAGACAATTCAGTGAGGGAAATTTTCCTCTTCAAAATGTCAGTCTTGACGATTGTAGAATCTTGTTTATTATAAGGGTTTATTATTGATCAATAAAATGACCATTGTATCACTAACGCAGTATTCAAAAGTTAGACAAAGGGTTTATTTTCAAGACAAGGCGATTATGTCATAATTCATTGATCAAAGAAAGTGGCCAATACAGTAAACTATTCGAAAAAATGGAAATAGTTTCCAGAATTGTTCAATTTAGACGATCGGGTGCTCACAGTTAGAAAGGTGGGCCATTGGATTTCAACCCAACAGCCGAATGGTGACGTAATTGCTAACGAGAAGTGATCGAAGTATGCGTGATCTTTCAAGTTATGGGTGCATACTACCGACGATTCACTGAGTAGTATGAAACAGCTACCCACTGCTTTCAGATTTCCGATGATTCTCCAGTTAAAATCAACTGAATGTTATATAGTTCTCGTGACAGCTATTCAACAAAGACTCTGTCGAATAAGCAGTTACTCATTAAGCTGGAAAATATTTTTGCTGATTCCATTTGATTGTCATGCTTAGTACTCGAGTGACTCTAAAGGCCACCAAAGCACCCAATGAATTAACCAGTTAAGTTTCTTTATTTCATCCGGTAAGATAATTTTCCATGAAATAAAGCTATTTGGTTATTTCACTTGTTAGGGTGGTCTTTGGAGCCAGTTACTCGAATAAGCCACCGTTCCCTGCATTTTTCCCCCTGATTTGTTTGATCGGAATCAGTAGTGAGTTGATAACAGTTTTAATTTCACACCATGAGGAAGTTGGTAACTTCAAATGGTTGGTTTATTGATCTAAAAATCCCTCCGCTTAGTCTAGACGCAAATTCGTAAGTTATACTGAACCTACACTATCCAACTACTTTCGAGTAATTAGTTGACTGTGAAGGAAAATAGAGATTAATAAAGCCAAGAAAATGCTATTCGCCATTAAAAATAATTAAGCCTTACACTTGACAGATCTGATTAACCTTTCACAAATGGATAATTCTCAATACAATCTTAAATGAATATCGAAGAAAGTGGTCAAAGGTAGAGGATTTTAAAGATTCTGTAGAGTAGAAAAAAGGCTTCTACCAAAAGGATTATTCCATTCTTGCTTACGAACTGTTCAAAATCTGAGAGTCGTGTACAAATGCTTCATTTCGGTTCTTATAATCACGTTCTATGCCTTCAA